ATAAACAGGATCTCTTTTGTCGATCGCGATATTAAAATATCTTATAATTGTATCAATATCTTCAATACTTTTTAAATCTTTTTCAAGATAGTTTCTTTTTATATAGTCAATCAATTTATGAAATTGTGGATCTCGTCCATATGTTTCCAATTTTGTCCAATATTGATGTGCTTGAAAATCTGCCTTGTCTGTCTGTAAAATCCATTCGATGGATTCACTAATAAAACGAGTTTTATTCATACGACGACGGATCATCTGCTTTATTCTATCAGTTTTAGCTTCATCCAATGGAGTACAATTATATTTATTCACTGTTGTATAACAAGCATCTTTTTGTAGTAATAGTTGAACTATTTCTTCATGTCCTCGATATGCAGCGACATGGAGTGCAGTAGATCCATTCGGTTCTAATTTATTAATTTCTTCTAATGACATTTCTTGCAAATATTTTTTAACCAAATCAATATTATTATTTCGACATGCATTATAGAAAGGACTAGTATCTAAAGCAATAAATGATAAGCTTCTTAAAAAGTAGAGATTTTATAGACCTCAAATATATTTTCCAAGAAAAAGTGAAGCGTAAGATTTAAACACTCTTTTAGTGATCCGGTTTCTATACAATAGACTTTCCACTGAATTTTTCAGCAAAACTCGGTAGTTTGTGACTCAGGTCCCATTGAAAGATGACCTTTGATATTGGACTTGAAACTTTGTGCAGCTGATACTCTCAATGAAACCAATTCATTCTGAAAGTTTCAACTTGTTCTGTTGCTTCTGTTTTCAGATACTCATATTGGATATTCAGCTAGGTGAAAAAGTAAATCATGTCCTTGTGGTTGTATTTTATAACAGAAGCAATGAAAGAAGCTGAAAGTTTCAGAAAGAACTATTTTCATTGAGAGTATTAGTTGTGAAAAGTTTCAAGTCAAAACCCAAAAGTCAACTTCCAACGAGAGCTGAGGAAGACTACAGATTTATGCTGAAAAATTAAGTAAAAACTGAATATCAGAAGAACAGAAACAGTTTCTGCGTCTCGAGAGATTTTCTCGCTTGTTACCAAATTTTATTCTATGAGAACTGCAAAGTTAGAAAGTATCTATAGTTATGTTTAGAACCAAAAAAAAACGATGTAAATATTCAAAAATTCTTGTATTTGAGCTTATACTATCTAATGGAAAAGTAATCGGATTAAAAGATACGTGTTTATCAAAAAAAGTTACTCGAAATGGGTCTAGATTGAAGATTATATTTGAGACGTCGTATCTCAATAAAGACTTGAGTGCGCATCTATTTCAGGTGGATAATGACATACTTCAGCAAGAAAATTACAATTCAAATAAAAATCTCGGTAAAATTCAGGATAAGAATTGAATTATTCCTTGTTCGTGATTTTTCAATAAATTATCAGTGGATCTTTCGTGCTGTTGCAGAAGAACAAACCTCAGGAGCTCTAAAAAAAGTCTGTAATACATGGTAAACATGTAACGTTCAATAACTGTATGGCATCTAATGCACATAACTGGTCTTCAATTTGAAATACGTTTTACGTGCAAGGTTCTATCATTGATATTTATCTGTTTTCCCTACTCTGTGGTAGCTGCTAAAAATGGCTAGCTCCTTGCAATCAGAATCCAATGTGTAGTTAAACACCGAACCAAAACAGCTTTAATATCAGCTACAGGTTTGAAGCAGATCTCAGAAATCGATCTTGTTGCCTAGCTGTCCGCTGAGCTTTTTCCCTGGTCACATTAGCAACCATGATCAAAGGTCTATGTATAATAATCCTTCCATACAAGTCGAAGACAATGGGCATCAAACTCTTTTTCTACTGTTCCTTGTCAACATAAAAAGACGTTAAACGGCATTAATTATTATACTTAGACTGCTGAGTCTATGAGAACTTTATTGTTACTCGCCGAGATCTCTCTACTATGAAAGCTGCAGAATTTTTAGTTCAACCATTCGTGAGAAAATCGAGAAGAAGAGAAGATATCTTTAAAAAGTATCAAATGCTATAGAAAGAAAAACGTACATATCCTTCGTTGGTGTGTATTATGAAAAAATTCTGAATAACTGTGAAAAGCTTAAAACACAATCATACCTATTTTATCATCGGCAAACCCTTGGGACATGTTTTTGTCACTCTTCTCGTCTGGATATAGTTTCTTCATGATTAGTGAACATATTTTTTTTATTTCTTTTAATTTAAGTTCAAACTGATCTTTTTCAGCAGCCTAAAATAACAAAGAGGCTAAATATAAAAATGAAAAGTCAAATATTTCTCACTTGATTTGTTTCCAACCATTTCAATATATCTTCAATAGCATCGAGCATTTTCTTCTTCTCATCACCACTTATTTTATCTCCTACTGTTTTAGCATTAATTATTTTTTTCATCTTCAAACAATAAGATTTTAATGGTTTCTTCGCAGCAATATTTGTACCCAGGATTTCATTTATTTCTTCATATATTACATCATAACACAATAGAGGTAGTTCAAGTTCGTCTTTTGACAAATATCCTGTATCATTTGTAATTGTAATTTTATTTTCATTTTTAGAACTTTTATCGAAAGCCGAAACATTTATTATATAATCTGCATCGATATTGATTGTTACTGCAATTTGTGGTATACCACGTGGAGCTGGTGAAATATCCATCAATGCAAACGTTCCTAATAAATGATTATCTCTTGTCATTGCACATTCGCCTTCATAAACTTTAATTAAAACACCTGATTGATTATCCGAATAGGTTGTAAATGTTTGGGTTTCTTTTGTTGGAATCGTTATATTACGTTTAAGTAAGACTGTCATAACACCACCAACAGTTTCGATACCCTTTAAAAGGAAAATTTACTTGACAGTTATCGATCGTTTTTTTTCTGAACTAACTTACTAATGAAAGTGGTGCCACATCGAGTAAAAGTAAATCTTTGATACATTCAGATTTATCGCCTGTTAATACAGCAGCTTGAATTGCAGCACCATATGCAACAGCTTCATCTGGATTAATTGATCTAGTTAGTTCCTTGCCATTAAACAAATCTTGTAAAAACTTTTGTACTTTTGGAATACGTGTTGAACCTCCAACAAGAACAATATCGTGAATTTGTGCTTTATCCATTTTTGCATCACGTAAAGCTTTTTCAACAGGTTCAAGTGTTGAACGGAATAAAGCAGCATTCAGTTCTTCGAAATGTGCACGAGTTATTGCTGAATAAAAATCGATGCCTTCATGTAATGAATCGAGTTCAATTCCTGCTTGTGATGCTGATGATAATGTATGCTATAGAGAAGAATTCGATTCAAAAAGATACAAATAAAAAACAGTCTTATACCTTAGCCTGTTTACACGCAATACGTAATCGTTGAATAGCACGTTTATTTTCCCGTAGATCTTTACCATGTCTATGTTTAAACTTTCGCATAAAATGTGTAACCATTCGATTGTCAAAATCTTTACCGCCCAAATGTGCATTACCTAAATTATTCTCGAAAAGTTAAAAACAAAAACAAAACTTCAACTTACCAGCTGTTGATTTAACCTCAAGAATTCCTTCTTCAATTATTATAATCGATACATCACAGGTACCACCACCCAAATCAAAAATTAGAACATTTCGTTGACCTGATACTTTTTTATCGATTACATAAGCAATAGCAGTTGCTGACGTTGAATTAACAATACGTAAAACATTAAGACCAGCAAGAACGCTAGCATCTCGTATTGCTAGACGTTGATAATAATTAAAATGCGACGGAATAGTTATAACAGCGTCGCTTACTCTTTTACCAAGATAAGTTTCAGCTATTTCTTTCATTTTCGTTAATATCATTGAAGAAATTTCTTCAAATGTAAATAATTTTACTTTTTTTTTATATTCAACTTGAAGTTTAAGTTTTCTATTTTCATTTATTATTTTAAATGGCCAATGTTTCATATCAGTCTGAACTGTTGGGTCATCATATTTGCGTCCAATAAGACGTTTAATATCAAATACTGTATTAGTTGGATTCCTGCCCACTTGATTTTTAGCTGCATCACCAATCAAAATTCCCTCATCAGTGAATGCAACATAAGATGATGTTGTACGGTTTCCTTGATCATTAGAAATGATTTCAACTCTTCCATGTTGAAATACAGCAACACGTGAGGAAACTGTACCAAAATCAATACCTATTGCGCTGCGCATTGAGTTTTCGGTGATGAGAATTCAAACCTCTTTTGTTTTAAATATCCTATAAATAAAATTCCTATTGCAATGTTTAGACATTTGTAGGACTAGGTATGAAATGCTAACTTTTCAAATGTAAAGTGGATCTTATTTCAAATAAAAACTCAATAGCTTTTGTTGTTGTTACCGAACTTCAGTTGCAAACTATTTGCATTGAAATAAAGTGTCCTATAAAAATCACAGCAAATTTGCTTTGTCTCTCTGTAAAAATGAATCAAAACAGAACATACAGAAAAAAAGCTGCATATAAATATCGATAAAAAGACGAAAAAGGTAAATGCAAGGTAAAAATAAAACATAGGAAATAAAGAGTGTGGGTGGAATGGGTATGTCTGATGTGGCTGTACGATTATTGCTGATATGGTTGTTAGGCTTCTTTCATCTACAATCACAGACCCACCTGCACCCACATCCGCACGCTCAATTATTGAACGTAGTTGCTGTAGATTCTCTAAATTATTTTGTTGATTCATTCACGCGTCGATCTAGCTATAATAAGGATTGACCTTTCAAATTAATTGAATGAGAATCATTTGGTGAATTTATACACGTGTGACACACAAAATGTGTTATGTCTGATGTATCGGACTCGGCTGAAAAGGATGGTTTTGGTTCGATTACAACTATGTTATGTGATGATTCATTTTTAGTACTCGTTACATATTCTCAGATTGATTGAATTTTCTGATTGTAACATGGATACAACAAACAAAACAACATTGTATGTCTTACATATTCACGAAGTTGCACGATATATGATATATAAAATAAAACTTATTCCATTCTGTCTAGGCATGCACCAAACCCAAACTCAAACCCAAACTATTTGGGAGTTTGAGTATATGAATTGGTGCTTGAGTTTGAGTTTGGGTATTCAGTGTGGGTTTCAGTTTGCTACGTCAACTCACTGAACTACTGGACTTTAAATGCAGTGCCGTTTGTGTAAAATCTCTTCTCTATATTTAGCTATTTATTCTGTATAGATATGAGCAAAACCATATTGCTATGTTTCACATTGTTAAACAATGGAATAAAGTCATTCTGAATTCCAAAAATATAGCTTGAAGAATGGATAGTTTAGATCGGTTTGTCTATGATCTGATTGATGGAAAATCGAAATCGCATTTCTCAGTTGGAGAAGGGATTGCTCGATGTTTTGTGATAGTCAAACATTAGCTTTTAAGGAGGGGAGAATGGTAGGGAACCCGAATTGAAAATCGATTTTCTTGAGACCGAAGGATGGCCTACAATGAATGAGGGTCTTCGCCTTTTCGCAACATCTTCTCCATTTTTCATAGATTTGGACTGAATATTTTTTGAGCGATGCAGCATTTGATTCTCCACGAAACTGCATACGTGAGGATGTCACAGGCAATGGCATAGCCAGGAATCTTTAAGTCATGGGCCTTTTCTCACCTAAATTATTTTGAGGAATGGGCAGCAATGAGCAATTAAAAATCAATTGGGCTACAATTTTTTAAACTTATTGACATCACGAAAACCAATGTTATTGAAAAGAAGTTTGTTACTCTTAACTAAGAGGCGAGCTTCTTCGCTTTTGTGAAACACGATCTAAAAGGAGTATTGATGTGTGTAGTGGTAGAAATTTGGACCCGCCTCTGCCACGGTGGACAGAAAAGAGGACCAGAAGCAAGTCTTTTAATGATTGCAGCTAATAACTTAATATTTTGTGTACATTTAGCTGACACTTTATAACAATGATCTATGCCTATTCAACCTCCCTTACTCGTAAACTCCCAGAAAATGAAGTTTTCAACTATCGAAAACTGCAAATTAGCATAATAAAAAGTCGTTGTTCCATTATAATGTTGTTTAGCAAAAACGAGACAACAATGTTTTTTTATGGACTTGATACAATTACTAACTATGGATTATATAAATCTGCCGTAGATTCATTACTCTTCAAAAGCCTGAAGCAGGCTATCATCAATAATTTGTTTCCAACTTTTGAATCCTTGCAGAAAAAAAAATAATAAGGGTGCAAATTAAACATCATTTTATAGTTTTCATTCGATATTCATCTCAATGTACGAATTACGTAAATGTAAAATCTTAAGACTTGTAAGGAAAAGTTCACTGTTTGGTTATAGTGGAGCACACATATACGTACATGTCAAACATCTTTAGAAAAAAAGTGTTTTAGTAATTTATTACTTGAAAAAATCCTATTGATAGGAAATTGTAAATAAATTATTAAACAGGCGATGCATACAATTTAGAATAACTAAAGTTTTGTATATAAGAGGGACAAACTAAAACACACTCAGTAATCTAAAATTTTTAGAAAACCATATAATCTCTAACGAGGATTGACTACACAGTTGCATTTTTTTTGATAATATCGGCCGTTTATGATTTGATTGTCCGACGTTAGTCACAAATAACAGTCAAGCTCAATTAATAGTTCTAGCTAAGTAAATGATTACATAGATTACAGTTCCTTTTTTTTAAATTTTATTTATGATTCAGATAATATTTTAAAATGTACAAATGAGGGTGGAAAAAAGTGCCCAAACTCGAGTCAACAAATATTGAAGAAAATTCGTAAAATTCAAATGTTCAGGTTTGACACAAGTCTAGTTGTGACATATAAATGAGCTCACTGATGCTATGAAGTTTGTCACCAAAACAAAACGAAATTATAGAAATACTTCGGATCATTTTATAGTATATCCCATGTAAAAATTTTTGCTAATTTAATGAAACCTTGTGATGTGAAAATTCGTTAAAAATTTAACGATTTAACGATTAAAAATGTTACAATTTTGATCATGTTAAACGTGTTAAAAGTGCGCAAAACTAACGCGTTTAAACGCGTTTTCAAATTCTAACGATCTTTTTGTGAAACACGATATAAAAGGAGTGTTGAAGTGTATAGGGTCGAAATTTGGATCCACCCCCTGATTTCCCCTACAGACCGTGACAGAGAAAATCCATACCTATCACAGACCGTGACAGAGAAATCCAGTACCCATCACAGACCGTGATAGAGGGGCTCCAAAGACTATCACAGTCCGTGACAGAGAAAATCCAGATCCCTTCATTCACAATATAAAAAGCACCATCGTGTTTCACATTTTTAATCCTGCAGGGATTGCGCTGAAAGCTTTTTCCGTTAGATTAGTAAATTTTTAATGATTTTTTGACACGTGAATTTATCCAGAAACGCGTTAAATGCGGAAGCTGATTAATATGTTCTCCCTCACAATTTTTCATACATTTTTATTTACTGCAAGTATAATGAACTTCCTTCAATAATCAATATCTTGCTTAGTTTCACTCGTCTGAAGAGAAGAATCCAGCTAATCAATTCAATATTGGATGTACTTTCTAATAAGATGCTTCGGAAAGCATTGTTATCACTATAAATATTTCGTAATAGATAGCAAAACCAACGATGAAGTACAATATATTTTTTTATTTTGTCGATATCTCGAAACTGAAACTATTTATGGCTTTACTCGCTACAATTTTGCATTCTTGTATGTATCAGAAATGTATTTCATAGTCGACCGAAATGATAAGACTATTCCTAGTTTAAAATCTAGGATATCGACAAAGTAAAAAAAATATTGTACTCTTTGATTTGTTTCACTATAAATTATGAAATATTTTTAGTGATAATAATGTTATCTTAAACATCTTATTACAAAGTGCATTCAATATTGAATCGATTAGCTGGATTTTTCTTCTCAGTCGAGTAGAACTTAACAAGATATTGATTATTGAAGAAATTTCATCATATTGGCGGTGAACAACAATGTATGAAAAATCCTGAGGAGTAATATATTTATTAGCTTGAACTGTGGAAAGACAGATTGCACGAACTAATATAATTTAATTATCCCCTTGCTCTTAACTTAGTATATCAGCTTACATATTTAACAGATATGAACCAGTCATTTTTTTCATATTAGATCTAGATTCTATAAGCGAAAAACTTAACTCAGCTAACTCAATAGCGTAAAAGAGGAATTTATATCAATTGAATCCATTCAAAAATAATGCAAACTCACCTTGATTTATCACTGATTGGCTTTCATTTGTAAATCTTGTTTCAAAAGTTTTTGTAATGTAAAAAAGGACAGTAAAAATATTTAATAATAAAAATGCATTGTAAAGGAATTATATAGTCGTAACTACGGTTTGTTATAGATGGCGCCAGTTTGGAAAATATCCTCAGATCAAATATTGATTCAAAGAATAATTAATATGAAGAAATTTAATTTCATATTCTGTAAACGTTCTAGCGCACTCTAAAAATTTGTCATTATTTACATCTGATCACAGGTAAATAATCAACTGTGCATCTATATAAGTAAAAAACCAATGATCGCTCAGACTATCCTATATTCTCGACATTAAAGTCGGTCGGTGAAAAGATGTGAATTAAATAATGAAAATTTTTGAAGCTCACTATAGCTTTTACAGAAAATCAAATAGAATATTCTCATATTGATTGTATTTGAATCTATATTTTATCCTGGAATATTTTGAGGATGTTTTCAACACTAACTCTCTCTTTAATAAACTTTGATTCATACCTGAAAAATGGCCAAGGAATAAAAAAATGAAAACAAATGGCATTTTTCATGATGAAACGACCATAATAATGCGTGTATTTCATTTTCATTGATTAAAATGAAAATTTTCACTAATGCCATTCATAAATTTACTTTTCAGTCGTTTTCATTATGATGACTTTCGTTAGAAATAGCGATGGGCAGGATCGACTTCGGAGCGGCCGCTCCACAGAGCTAGCTCCACTCCGGGAGCTGAGTCAGAGTGGAGCGACTGAGTGGATGTCTGGAGCTGGAGCGAGAAAATGTCAGACAAATATTAAGAGCTGTGCTTTTTCCTCTTCCATTTGCATCTATTACTACGGAAACTGAGTGTTATTAATGAAAACAAAAAGTGATCTGCAAAGGAGCCAGAAA